TCAGTCACTCACAGAAAATTACCTGCAGAATTATGATCCCTTTAAACTTAAGTCTCCTCCGCATACAAAAGTAACATCTGTGCCAATTACTCCGAGGGCCCTTTCATACTTCTGGGTGGGTATCCTTTGGGTGGCTCTGACCGCTATACAACACGAGGGCAGCGTACCGCACGGGAAATGGCCCTTCCGAGGTGGGAAAGGCACGGTGGCCGTCGCAGCGTCCCGGCTGGGTGGCTGTGCGTCTCACTGGGGATTCCACCCAGGCCGCCCTTCCAGAGGCAGGTGCGTGCCTGTGGCCTTCCGCTCCTTCTCTGCATTTAGTGTCTCGGGAGGGGGGTGGGGGGAACACGGAAACCCTCAGCTCAGATCCGAGCTTCAATGGAGTTAACGACCCATTCCCATCTCCATCGTCAGACCCGCGGGAGATCAGGAGAGTTACGCCAGATTTACGCCCGCGTAACTGAAACCAACGTTCAGAGCGCCGCGATAAAAGAAGTGCGATAGTCCCGTTTTCTTCTAGCACCGGCTTGGCTTTCGGTGGGTCCGCTGCATGCTTCTCATGCAGTAATGATGCACTTTACTTATGCTGGGGGGAACATTTTAGATATATACCTTTGTTATTTTTAAAGAATTTCGTAAAAAATAGAACATTTCTCTCTAATACTGTACAGTTTTCTTCAGAAGAGCAAAGAGAATTGTAAAATGCGGTGCGACACCGGATTAGGAGTGTTATTTGCTTTCTCGGCACAACAATTTGTACAATCGTGTTGGGAAACGCTCTGCGAAATGTATTTGAAAAACAAATTTCTAATTAAAATACCTGTTTCTAAAACCACTGCTGGCAGTACTCGTATATACGACGGAAAACTTGGTTGGTTTTGGCACTGCTAATCCAAGAGTCTCTGCAGGAGCGTGAAGTAGCTTCTCTCTTACTTAAACAAACCGAATGCATCAAAAGAGTAACTTCAGAGTATAAACATGAAACGCTTTGGGTAACTATTAAACTTATTCCAGTAACTTTAAGAAAGCAACTGGTTAATACATTAGCCTGCAGACTCGTAGCCTTTGTTTTTTCAAATGTGCCTGGATATAGAGCAGGGCCAGTGAACTGCCCACCTCACAGGCTCGCGAGGCTTAGCTGGTACCACGTCAAGCGCTTCGAGGCCCTCGGGCAAAAAGGCGTGATTTAAGTGCAAAGTATTATCCGTGTTTATGATGGCCTCTGAATACTGGTTCACTTGTTCTCTTTTCTAAAGACTACTACTGCTGGCAAGCACTTAGGCCATGGTTTTCATTAAAATATTTGTTTTCCAATACATTTTACTTTCTAAACTTGAGTGAACATTGTTTCGCATGTAACGGACATTTTACAGTGGTGCAAGGAGTCAAATGGCTAATGATTTCTTCTAATTTTTAACTGAAAGACTTAAAACGGCAAAATCGGCTCAACTGATGATTATATAGTAATTTGCATCAGGGTAACGGTACTAGGTTTGCTGAAAGAGGTGTTCATTAATCGAGATTCAGATATACATGTGATCTGCTTAGGTTCAACTGCCACTTTCTTCCTTTGGTTTCTGGAAAAATCTATCTTTCTTCCCTCTTGAAAGGTGGCTTGTTGCAGCTGGCTACTTTTCAAAACCCAGCTTCATTTTTCTTGGAAAGTCGCCCACGTTCTCTGAACAATAGGCACATACCTCGAGTAGGGACCCTAATGCTGCTCCCAGCGAAGTCAATTAAAGGCTGTTTGCAATTTCTATAGGAGCAAGCGTTTCAGACGCACACAATCTAGAAAACAGAGTGCATATCGTTAAAGGAAGAGTTGTTTTAACACCCTTGCCAGTTCAGAGAAACAATGACCTGATATGTTGACAAAGATGGAGGCAGAGTAGGGCCCACAGTACTTGAAGGCTGCCGAGAAAATACCCAGAGTGTCTTCTGTTAAACCCCAAACTGTCAATCATATTTCACAGACTGTAGATGTTCCTCATTTGCTAAATTACAAATACATTTTCAAGTTCTACCAGGCAGAAATTTTAGCAGTAACTGAGGAAAGGATGGAAGGTTTCAGCCTGCCTTCCACTTCTATCCCAATTACGAAGCCTTGTCGAAGTCTTCAAGTGACTCGTCTGAAAGCCAGATTTTTAATATTGTAGAAGGAAATTGTGGCAATGGAAACACGATGACTTCATACGCAAGCATTGACACACAAGAGAACGCCATGACCTAATGCTTCAAAGTTTTTAACCTTGCTTTGTACAATACACTTTTCACGTTGCTGCATTTCATCAAATTCATGGAGGTAGTTATATGTGTAAAAAAAATTACCATAAAAGTAACATGTTGTATTATAATAATACATATTAAGTGTGCAAAATGCCGACAGATTTGTGTTGACCCTTTACAGTTGAACACAACACAGATTCAACCTAATCTAACTCTGTAAACCTTTAAATTGATACAGTAGAAAAGAATGATAGATAAGCAACCACGTAATACAAGGCTATGATTTCATCAAAGGATTAGGGTGACATAAAGCACTCAAGCTCCACTCTTGTGGTTTTGTTACCAGAACCTCAAGATGGAATTTCCTTATATTCCATTGTTGATTTTAAAAGGAAAAAAAAAAATAAAAAAATTCAAGATTAGAACGTTTCTATTTGAAACTTCTGTTTACATTCCATATTCCAAGAGTCACATTAATATTGGTACAATGCCATGTCAACATTAATATGACATTTATGTTGTCTGCTGGTCTCTGGGAACTCTAGGAAATAACATACTATACAGTTTATAGGTATGTACTATTGTATTTTGTTGGAATTATGTATTCTGTACAACCAGCTGCCTGTATAAATTCTGATTAGTTTATGACAAACAAGTATTTCCCTCAAAGGTGAAATCTGTTTTGCTGTTCACATTTTAATACTGCCGCTAGTACTTCAGATCATCACTGTAAATTTTTTTATCGTTTTGACATTTTTATTTACTGAATTGATACATACTACTGATGTCAGAGCTTGTCTCAGAAACAAAATCACAGTCAGCCACTGCATAGTATATGACAATTCCCCACAAAAACTCTGACTCTACAGTTCGCATGGAATAAGTACGGCTGGAGTTACATATTGAGTAATAAGATGCGTCATGCAAAGCATTATATGGCAATTAGAGCACATCTTGGAAGGTATGATAAGGCAGAAGGCTAAAGGCCAAGTGACTTTGATAACCAACCAAAAGCACAATAATTTCCTTTATGTGCACTGAAAGGTCTTATTGCTCCTATGAAATGGAAATTATACACTGAAACCAAGGAAAACAGACCTGTGCATCGACTGGGTCTTCAGACAGAACTGGAAACTGATTGCGTCCAGAGTTAGAAAGCCGTTTCGTAAGTAAATGAACTATATCCAACTGTGTAACATAAGGCTGAATCTTCAGTAAAGACTTCCAATGACAATAGAGAAAATGAGTGAAGCTCAAATGACTGTGCACAGAGTAACACGTCACCAGAACTTGATGAAAATACCGGGTTTTAATATGTACAGTTGGGTTTCACACCTGTGTACTACAAGAGCTAGACAATGTAAATGTCCCTTTTCTATGCAACAATTTGTGTTGTTGAACATTTTATTACCTTTGTTATTCTTCCGCCAATTCGTCTGTTCTGATAAAAAATAAGAGTTAAAATTTGAAGTCAGTTTGTTGCGCTACCAAGTTGCATGAATACAGAGCAGAACGTGACCCTATACCTAGAAATTACTCTTGGAGTTTAACTATCCAGAGAAGTTACTCTACAGTAATTAGCACAGTACTAATTACTGTGGAGTAACAGTTTAGGGGAGGGCAATTAGGATATACCGTACCTACAGAATTCAATTTCTACTGCCAACCATGTGGACACATTTAATTTCTAGAAACTAGACATGTCCATAAAATGCGAAGTTGCAAATAACATCCACTGAATAAAAAGGCCAGAAGTTTATAATTCTCTAAATTTTGTTCTCTGATAATCACTACAATGTATGCTATTTTTAATAGCCTAATTTAGGCACTCTATTTAATAAGCTACATAAAATAGATTTATGTCCTTCCACTAGAAAGAAATCAATTCTTCAGGCCATACTTGTCATTTGTATCATAAAGAATATTTTTGTTCTAAGAAATTAGTTATCCTGATTCCTATATTAATGGCAAGTTGCAATACCAGAAGTGACACAAGAATTAGATTATCTTTTTTTAAATACTTGATTTATACTGAAGACATTTGTTATATTTTGTGTCACCACATTGTGGCTCCATGACAGCTACAGTGTTCCCTTCCCTCCCCACTCCCCCCTCTACACAAAGGCCCACCTCCTCATTTGTGACTATGGAAGGTCAAGTAGCAAGTCTCTAAGTAAACATCTCTCATACTTTTGAAACGCAAAAGGAGAAGTCGTCTCCCTTCCCACCCTCCACTTAAAAAAACACCCCAGACCAAACCAAACCCCAAACCTCTTTTTACTCGCTTAAACGGGTATTTGCAAAATTGTGTCACAAAAACACACAGTGAAAATGACTGATTAGTATTAATAATTCACAGATAGAGCTGAGGTCATCACTTGTCATGTTTGGCATTGTTTTTTCCTCACGGTGATCCTGGCTGGTTACTTTCAGCAGTGGCTCAGTTTTTGAAGTAAAAAACGATCAACTCTGCAGCAGAGTTTAGCCTCTGACCGGGGGGCATCACACATCTGTGGCATTTTTTTTTAAATGAAGTTGGCAACTGCATGGACATTGAAAATGCAGATTACACTTACAGTGTCTAGACTTTCATATATGTGCTCAGTTACAATTAAGTGAAGCAAAAAGTGTACATATTATCCCTACTGCTATTCTGTTGCTACAGAGCCGCAAATGTGAAAAGCAATACCTTGGAAATAAAGGTTTCTTTGTTGCCCCTAGTCTACATAGCAGCACAGTTTAAGTAAACACTAAAACTGTGGTTGAGATGCTTTTTTTATTTTTCCCCAAAGATGTAAACATCAGTCCCAGTGTCGTAAACTTTGCTGTACAGGATGAGACAGAAGATCTGAGGCAGGATGACTATCAGACACTAGTGACAGAAGCTTGCAGGCAGTTAGCAGGTTTCTGCAGTTTCTCAGCTTCACTTGTTGGCGGGTCTGCAGTGGCTCGGAAGTTGAACGTTGGGCCTGCGCCACCATGTGCAGGGCTCAGAGCAGGATTCTGACGTCTGTTGCTTTCAACAATACTTGAAGTGTTGGATGCCAGGCTCTCACGAGTACTAGAAGGGAAAAGAAATATATATACACACTCATATATGACAAGCCTATATATCTATCGACCAGACAGGAAAGGAGAATAGAGCGTTTTATAATAGGCTTCCTGTGTTTGTATGTAATGTCACATCAATGAATCATCTCATTTTGACAGCACACACATGTTCCTCCAAAATGGGTTCCAGAGGTACTCAGCAGTCATCATACTGTAACACAGGTATAGCACTAAGCAGAGCTGAAGCTGTCACACAAACTGTAAGGTGAAGCAGTATCAAGCATGTGGATTTTCCACCCGAGGAAACAGCTTCCATCTTGCATGTGGAACATATTAATTTTCTTTCCTGACTGGTGCATTTTTGCACTAAGCAACTTCGTCAAATCAGCTCCATAACTAGGCAGAGCTAGGAGAGCGATCATAACACAGCTTCCTCTGTTGTCTCCTCTTCTACCTATGTCTTTGTACACAAAATATTAATTAAAAATGTTACTTTACATTAAACCCACAATGCTTCTAAACACAACACTTCAATTTTGCTTTGCAGCCAAGACAATTGCAACTTACAAGATGCTGAGAAATCTTAACTGCCTGGTCTGTGATCATGCCTTCAACAACAACTAGTGCTGCTATTTCATTCATAAAATGGACAACGTTCCTTTAGTTCTAACATACTGTTTATCCACAGGAGTGACAGGACACTCAGTACTTTTAAAGCCTAAGCCTTTTAATGATACATCTAATTATGAATGCAGAGGAGCCTGTATTTTAGACTACTGCTTTTAAAAAACTCAGCTAAGATAAGCTAAGGCCAGTTTTACCACTACTGATCTTTTTGTTCTCTTTCCACTCTTAGTAATTTTTGATCTCCAAATAATCTGTTCCTGTGCAGAGAGAGATTTGGTATTCAAACAGCCACGTGGTCCCTGGTTATATATCCTTCACCTATATCCCTACTTCTTTGCAAAATGACATCACCACTTGCTATGGAGATGTTTACAGAGTACGTTTAGAGGAGTGAATGGGTTTGTTAAATAAGCCCTAGAAACAAAGAACTAGTGATAGACTTTCATAGTCACTTTAAAGTCAACCTAAATTTACCTGCTACTGAAAGGGGCAGCTCTTGCCTGCCTTGTGTGGACCTGACCCTGCCACATGTTCCTGCTGCTTCCCTGATGCTTAGCCTTGCAGCCAGCCAGATCAGGGATCACTCTCAGTTAAATACTAGCCCTAAGAAAAA